AGGGTTGGGATCCCTCAGTAGCAGCCAAATCGATCAAATACCCAAACCCGATACATCTGTGTACGTTTCCACTGCCCTCCTATGATGAGCATGTCTAATGGGGCACAAACATGTCCTACTCAAACACAGACTGACAGAGGAGGTGGGTACAGAATTGTGGTGCTGAGGGCTTTCTCCTCTCACACCCCAAACAGAGCCCTGGCAGAGCACCAGCCCCCTGACAATGTGTTTCTGTTCTGATTTTAAACATTTAATTTTCTTCCCTCTCTTCCACCCATTCACCAGCTTTGGTCTGATGGAGACACGTCACCAGTTACCATTACTTTGGGTTTCAAGGGTGGTTTTTTTTCTTCAGTCTGTGTGTCCAGTGCCACCTCAGGGTTCAGCCCAATCTGCTTTTTACAAGTCGCTATTTTTGAGGTGGTACCTCCACAAACACAGGCCCCGCCATCCCTGTACAGTGTAATTACTGAAGCACATAAAGCAGTTAGAGCAGGAATTTATCACTTTCAGGTGGAAATACTCTTGGCCAAATAAAAGATAGAACAGGAATGCTAGGAACGATTTATAACAGGCTTACTGACATTTCACATCGAGAAGCTCCACTGGTGAATAAGCATCAAACCATAAATCTCAGAGCAAACATAATTAAAGTGAGCAAGTTATTCTTTGAGGGACTTCATCATAAAGGGACTCGGCGGTGCAAAGCCACAAAATTTGGTTGGCGACAGTTGTAGAAAACAGCTGTCAGTATGAGGCCCCAGCAGCCGTCTGAACTTTTGGCAATGATTCCCATCCCACGTCTGCCTCTGTTTGCTTCCTGCGGCTGGATGGTTTCCCCTCATCCCTGCTCATCAGACAAAATAAAAGCAGAAAGATGTTGGGTACCACCACTCAGCTGAGCAATGGCAGCCTGATGAGAGGGACTAATTTCACCACTGGTGTCAACAAGGGCATTTTCCACAGCTCCTATCTCATCTAGAGAGAAGGACTTCTACTCAAATGAGTGTTAAATTGGGAGTGAAAACATTTCTAAAGAAGTTATCCTTGTCTTCCAAGAAGGAGGTTTTTCAGTTTTCAGGTTTCACACTTCTCTGCTTTGGTAGTTTGTTCTCTCTGTAGCTCCTGAACACCAGGGATGGTTTAAATGGGGTTGTGGGGTTTTTTTGCTTTATTTATTGAAAGTTAAATATTTATCTTTGCTACTAGTAGTAGCCAGAGGTGGAAGGAGGTCAGCACCTCACAGGATGGGGAATCACAAAATCTCTCCGCTCCATTGATCCGAGAATATTTGTTACTGCTGTCTGGAGCAAGCTGATGTGTTACAGGGTGAAATGCTGTCCCATCATGCTGATTTGAGTAGTGGCATATTCAGCCTTTATCAAATTGATACCGTTGTATCTCCTGGCCTGCTTGACCCCAGCAAACACTGCCTTGGCTTTTGCTGCCCTCATGATAACTCCCAGTCCTTACCCATGAGAAGGGAAGCTGTGGAGGTGCATGAAGGCTCCAGAGGGTCAGAGAGCAGCCTGTCCTTTGCAGGTGACTCTTTCCTTGCAGAATCGGGGCCTGAGCCCTGAGGAAGAGGGGTGTAGGTATCCCCATCCACACATGTCTTGATTCACCGGTGCAGAGAGGAGGGCTGTTTGTTGTCATCAACAGCACAGTAGCTGCATCTGCGTGCTTGGATCCAGCTGTGAAAAGTGTGATTGTATCTCTGTAATAGCCTGTTGTTTTCTGGTGCTCAGGGAATCTCCTGCTGCGTTAATAACACAGAGCAGTGTCCTCTTTGCTAACAGCTTATCATCCCTGCCAGTGGAGATCGGCAGGGCCTCACCACCCAAGGGCGGAAGAGCCTGGGGGAAAGCTAACAGCTTATCACCCCTGCCAGTGGAGATCGGCAGGCCCTCTGCCACCAAGGGAGGCAGCTCTGGGGAAAGAAACAACAGCCTCAGAAAGTAAAACAAAACCAAATGCAAACCGCACTGTGTTAAGAGATGTGCATAGGTGTCAGATGCTCCTGGGCAGCAGGCAGGCTCAGGCACGTTTCTGACTGCAATGAGCTGCTTCAGAGCTCAGTGTCCTCCTTGCATATCTTGGGAAGGAAAGGGACAGGGACAGCTGCCCTGGTCCCTGTCATGCCCAAGAGGAACCTGTGCCCAAGCCCAGCGAGATCCCATGGTGTCTCTTCCCATCCTGTGTGCAGGCACTGAAATGTCTGTCTGCAGGAAAGGGATGACAGCGACGGACACAGCTGGGCAGGGCACCCTCGCTCCCTTCCCAGGGATGGGGCTGGGACAAGGAACTGCTCTGTCACACTGAAACCAGGATGAATTCACAAAATAAGCTAAAAGAATCATGTGTCCCTTAAAAGCAAACAGTTGCCAGATGCAACCTTAACATCTTACTTGGTCATTGTGCACTCATCCTGTGCTCCAAAAAACCAGCACCAAGCGTCTCCCAGTGTGCCAGGGTTACTGGAAGATGGCCAAGGCCTTTCTGCTGAGATGAAACTTTAATGCAATTTGAAGCGTTCAGAGCAGGTTACAAACAACACTTGATCCATAAGATCTCTTGAGTCAGCCTGGCATTTATGTTCACAAAATACGAGAAAGCTAAAACAGTCATGTGTCCCTTAAAAGTAAACAGTTGCCAGATGCAACCTGAACATCTTGGTCATTGTGCACTCATCCTGTGCTCCAAAAAACCAGCACCAAGCGTCTCCCAGTGTGCCAGGGTTACTGGAAGATGGCCAAGGCCTTTCTGCTGAGATGAAACTTTAATGCAATTTGAAGCGTTCAGAGCAGGTTACAAACAACACTTGATCCATAAGATCTCTTGAGTCAGCCTGGCATTTATGTTCACAAAATACGAGATGCCAATATATACTGTATAGGACAGTAAAACAGATAAGTACCTTATCCTTATAAGTCTTCCTTTCCTGTGGCTGAAATATCTTTAGTGCCCCTCTCAATAAATCCATGTATGCGCGCGTAGTCTCCATTGTGTGGAGACATTATGTGTGAATTTACAAACATTTACAGCTAAGTTAAACTGAGGCAAAACACTGCCCTGGGCAGCCAGCATCTAACACATACTTGTGTTTGAGAAAGATGTAAAAGTCACGAGTGATTCATTCTCCCTAATTCTAGAAAGGTTAAGGAGTTGACGCTCTTGGAAATCTAAGAAACGTCTTCCTCTACAGAGAATTATTGCAACCAATTGGGCAGTCAGAAGCAAAAAAAAACGATGCGGAGAACAGGGGGAAGTGAGAAATATATCTCTAAATTTGGTTTATGCAGTATTTAAAGTACAAGTAAAGCCATTCCAGGCAGTATAAGGCCCACACACTTTAAAATAAATTTGTTGCATGACAGAAAGCCAGTAAAATGGTTTCAGCAGTGGTGTGATATAGTGTGACAGTCACGTTCAGTATGTGCAGGAATCAGCCTCTCCGTGCCCCACCACCAAGGCAACAATCGTCTTCGCCATGTTAAACTGATAACGTGATTTCCAAACAATGTGGGGCTTCAGAGCAAAACCCACGCTGAAGGATGGCACTCGGCTTCCCAGCTGACGAGGAAGGTAAAAAAATCCTCGTCTACCTCCTGCTTCATTTAAAAGTGTTGCCCATCTGGTAAAGACCCTTCTGTGTAAATACGCAGGTACCTGATATTTTATTAGTGAAGTACCCCAGCTGTTTTTCAATAAATATACAATTATTACATGATTCTTCAAGCAAGGAGCATGCAGAGGGATACAGTTCCCTCAAGTCTCACAAGTCAGTCATTTTCCCAGTGGTTAAAAGAGCCAAAGCGACTGTGAAAGCGGGGGTCCCTCTCCTCTTGTCTGCTCATCCTGAAACCACTGCACCCCACCAGGGAAGGGCTTTCAGCCTCAAGATGCAGAGCGCCCACAGCAAGCAACAGGATGGATCCACTTCAGCAGAAGTCTGAAAAAAAATGAGAGGAGGAGCAGCCTCACGCTTTGAATTCCCTCTTTCCCCAAACATCTGAAGCAAAGCCTTTAACAGGCTGAGTTTGCTCCTCGGGCTGCCCCTCTGGGGCCAGTTTTGCTGCACGCCCAAAGCCCTGTGAGCTCACTGGGTTCTCAGAGGCACTGTGGGCTGTGGCACCAACTTGGGGCTGCTAAGATCATGTAGTGTGGTAGTTGGCAAGGGCCATTAGACTAGCAAGCTTTCAGATTTCAAATACTGACGGATTTGATCCCCAAAAGGAAATAATAATAATAAAAAAGTCTATTACGCTGTCAGAGTAAGCAGCACAGTCAGCATTGCATTACACAGCATTAAATTATTAGGTGAGTCTCGATAGCAGGAACATCTGCTGGTGTTAGACATGGCGTTTTTAATTAAAGGCAGCAGCAGAGAAACCTGTGGTTCATTGGTTCTGCTTTCGCCATGCGAATTGCTAAATCCAAAGGGCACTTGTACAAAAGATCTGGTCAGAGCACATACTCTGGACCCAGTGCTGCAGAAGCACAAGTGGAAAAGTAACCGAGGTGACAGGTAATTTACACCTGCATCCTTCACTCGTTGAGAGCTCTCTGTGAATCCTCGGCTGGGTCAAAGCTGGGGGAGATTTTACAAAATCAAGATTACCCTTCTGTTTTTTCCAGAAGAGGGAGAAGAGGGGTTTCCAACAGAAAGGCAACTAACAGAGAAAAGCTCCTGGGGCTCTTCACCAGTGCTGGGTGCGTGAATGGGTGACACAGACCCTCCATATCAAACCATGCCCTCCAGGACGTTTACCTTTCAAAGTCTTAAAGGTTTGAACATAGTGACACAGACCCTCCACATCAAACCATGCCCTCCAGGACT